CGGCTTCCGTACCTAATGACTGGAAGGTAGCCAACGTGACACCAATATTTAAAAAGGGCTCTAGAGGCGATCCTGGAAATTACAGACTGGTAAGCCTAACTTCAGTACCGGGCAAATTAGTCGAAACAATAGTAAAGAGTAAAATTGTGAAGCACGTAGAAGAACATAATTTGTTGGACAAAAGTCAACATGGTTTCTGTAAAGGGAAATCCTGTCTTACTAATCTATTAGAGTTCTTTGAAAGGGTTAACAAACATGCGGACAAGGGGGATCCAGTAGATATAGTATACTTAGACTTTCAGAAAGCCTTTGACAAGGTCCCTCACCAAAGGCTCTTGTGTAAATTCCATGGCCATGGGATAAGAGGGAAGGTCCTTCCATGGATTGAGAACTGGTTAAAAGACAGGAAACAAAGGGTAGGAATAAATGGTAAATTTTCAGAATGGAAAGGGATTGCTAGTTTTCACAACAGTTTTCACAATTCATGTGCATTAATTCTTGATTAAGTACTACATTTGTTTTGAGAAAATCCTTATTTCTAATTTTAACAAGAGCAGCTCTCACTGAGATTTTTTTTAAAGTTGTCCATGATCTTTGGTTCTTAGAAGTAATGTCTGGTTTCTCTTTCCCCCACTCCTCCCCAAAATAAATAAAATAAATAAATAAATAAAAATCTGAGCAGTAGATCTTGCCTCTTGAAACTTTACGACAGTGTGTCAAGAGCAATAATGCATTCATTGCTCTCAGTTACAGACCGTAGTAGAAAAATACATTTCCAAAGTACCATTTCCAGGGTCAGCCTCACCCGTTGAATACTTCTTCTCCTCCAAAAAAGACGAGGAAAAAATCCCAATCACTGAATGTAGCAGCAATAAGAAGACTGCTGTACTTATTTAGTGGACTCTTCTTGCTACTTACTGCTATAAGGGGCATGCATAATTGGCTGGATAACTGTTCTCAGAGAGTAGTTATTAATGATTCACAGTCATGCTGGAAGGGCATAGCAAGTGGGGTTCCGCAGGGATCTGTTTTAGGATGGGTTCTGTGAACTATCTTAGTCAACTATTTGGATACTGGCATAAAAATAAGTATGCTTAAGTTTGCAGATGATACCAAGCGGCTGCAAGTGCTTTGGAGGATAGGGTCAAAATTGAAAATGATCTGAACAAACTGGAGAAATGATCAGTGGTAAATAGGATGAAGTTTAATAAGGACAAATGCAAAGTGCTTCGCTTAGGAAGGAACAATCAGTTTCACACATGCCAAATGCAAAGTGACTGTGTAGGAAGGAGTATGGCACAAAAGGATCTAGGGGTCATGATGGACCCAAGTCGACAGTGTGACACAGTTGCAAAAAAGCAAACGTGATTCTGTGATGCATTAACAGGAGTGCTGCAAGCAAGACACAAGGTAATTGTTCTGCTCTATCCTGCACTGATTAGGCCTCACTTGGAGTACTGTGTCCAGTTCTGGGCATCACATTTCAAGAAAGATGTGGAGAAATTGGAGAAGGTCCAGAGAAGAGCAACAAAAATTATTAAAGGTCTAGAAAACATGGGCTATGATGGAAGACTAAAATACTTGGGCTTGTTTAGTTTAGAAAAGAGAAGACTGAGAAGAGGACATGATAGTTGTTTTCAAGTATCTACATGGGTGATATATGGAAGGAGAAAAATTGTTCCTCTTGGGCTCTGAGGATAGGACAAGAAGCAATGGGCTTAAATTGAAGCAAGGGAGATTTAGGTTGGACATTAGGAAAAACTTCCTAACTGTCAAGGAGATTAAACACTGGAATAAATTGCCTAGGGAGGTTGCGGAGTCTCCATCGCTGGAGAGATTTAAGAGCAGGCTGGATATACATCTATCAGGGATGATCTAGGCAATGCTGGGTCTTGCTGTGAGGGCAGGGGACTGGACCTGATGATCTCTTGAGGTCCCTTCCAGTTCTAGTATTCTATGATTTTCTTTAGTGTAGAAAGCAGATTTTCATTCTGCTGCCTGTACTGTACTATTTTATGCTACCGCCTACCAGCCTTTTCCCCCAAAACAAAATAACAGCTTTAGTGCTGTTTAAAAATAAAGCAAAAATAGCCTAAAGCATCCAAATACTCATGAGCATGTACAGGGCTCGCCGACTGGCAGCAAGCCCCACTTGCCAACTGCGTGGTTCTGCGCTTTGCTCATGCGCAGATGATTCCGCGCATGCGCAGATTGCTCCGCACCAGATCTTCCAGGATGTAATCTACTCGCCACGAATGAGTAGATTACACTATTTGTCAAGCCCTGACTGGTATAACAAACTAACCAAACAGTCTCACTGACTGAACTACATGGGATAAAGGAATAGTCACATGTCCTGTAAAATATTACCTGTAGTAATCATGTTTGTCTTTTGAGTACATGAGCTGATCAATGCATGGCCTCTCATCTATTTTCTCTTCCCAAGTTCCTTCTTTCCATCCTTCTGCATAGCTTTGTAGGACATATACCTGCTCTATAAAGGGTCCACCTGACTCTGAATAGGAAGAAAAGAGAAATACTTGAGATATATATAGCAGCATTGTTTGCCCTGTTTTAGGTAAGAAGCTGCCATATTCTATAGAGTTATAGTCCACTTAGCAAAAATAATATATACGAGTCATCTATGGAAATGAGAGGAGTCCAGGGTTTATTCATTACCCATCTCCATCTAGATGGTGGTTTTTGTGTTAGATACATCTAAAATGTAGATTCAGCATAGATTCAGAATGCTGGATCAAGCAAACAATTCATCAAATGATAACAAAAAAATGTATCACCTTTGAATGTTCCTCTTTCCTTTTGCACATTATCTTGAAGACCATAAGAATGACCATATGGGGTCAGACTAAAAGTTAATTTAGCCCAGTATCCTGTCTTCTGACAACAACCAGTGCCAGCTGCCCTGGAGGGAATGAACAGTTAATTATCAAGTGATCCATTCCCTGTAGCTTGTTCCAGTTTTTGGTAAACAAAAGCTAGGGACATCATACTTGCCCATCTTGGCTAATTGCCATTGATGGACCTATCCTCCATGAATTTATCTGGTTCTTTTTTGAATTGTTAGTGTCTTGATCTTCGAAACATCCTCTGGCAAGGAGTTCCAAAGGTTGATGCATTTTTTTTCTATTATCCAGTACATTTCCTTTGGACTAATTTTTCTGTTAAAACTGCTTTCTAAGAATGTTTGAGTTAATTTTTCAGAAAAGACTGTACACTATGTGGCTTCACTTGGCTAGCTGGAAAAATGTCAACGCTAGGAACTATTTGGCTGCTGTAGGGATGTGCAGTGTTCAAAAGGGCTCCACCCCCATCACAAGAAATCAAATACAATGAAAGAAAGGTCAGCAAAATGAGGGAAAGAAAGAAAAACCCTCCTAGGTATAAAGTCAAATTCGGAACAACAAGGTACCACTGGAAGATACTATGCCATGACTGTAGGGACTTCATTTCAGGCCTGGTGAAGGGACCTGACACTGGTAACCCTTTTAAGCTGTTGGCAGATACAGCCAACAACTGTGCCTCCTGACAAAAGATGACATAAGTTAAAGCTTTCAATGAGGTGGGTGGCTGCCTTTGGTAGCAGAGCTTCCCCCAGAAAGGGAATGACTAAACCTTGAAGGGACAGGGCTCTCTCCCCTTTATTCTCCATTGTTGTATTTTTCTTGTCTTATTTTCACTTTTCTTAAAAGAGGAGGAAACATGTGTAAGGTGTGGGCAGCAACCCCGGTTACAAACTTATATTCAGAAATTAAGCTTAAACATTCCCTCATTAATTCTTGATTAAGGGCTGAGAGAAAGTAGCTGGAAAATGAGATACAGTTACACATATCAGAAGGGTAGACATGTTAGTCTGTCTGAAAAATGAGTTTTGTGGTACCTTAAAGATGAAGGCTATGTCTACACAGCAGCATTTTTTTGGAATAACGTAGTGCGTGTCTACACAATAAGCCCATTATTGTGAAATAAATTTTAAAAAACGGGCTTCTTATGCTGACTCTTGTAAGCCTTACTGTATGAGGAGTAAGGGAGGTTGGGGGAAGAATGCTCTATTTCAAAATAATTGCTGTGCAGAGTGCCAAAAGTCAAAACAAGCTATTGTGACTTAAGTTATGCAATTAGTGTAGCTCAAATTGCATACCTGATTTCGAGTTTAGCCCTGCTGTGTAGACGTACCCTAATAGATTTATTTGGGCATAAGCTTTCATGCACAAAGACCCACTTCATCAGATGCTGATGAGATACTGTTATAGAATTTAATAAACAGGTGAAAGCACAAAATAACATTTAACAAAGGAAACTTTATCTTCCAGTTTCCAAGTTCTCAGGAAAAAAAGTCATCTTCCTAATCTCATTTAGCCACATAAATTGAAGATAACTTACCTTTTCAAGATTAGGAATAGGAAGTGTAGGTAGGTGTAGAAAATATGGCTTACATTGCCAGTCTCCATCCACTGTTGACTATGAAGGGCCAAATTCATATTTGTGGTAACTACATTAGGGATGTTAAAATGCATGTAATTGAGTGACCGTGTAACTGCTGAAAATTTGAGGTTACGCACACAGGGGCAGTCAGCTCTACCCAGTTCCCTGCACTGCTGCCTCTGTATCAGAGGCAGAAGCACTGGTGGCGGGCAGTTCCTGAGGAGCTGCTGAGCATGAGGTGCCAGCTTTTTAGCTACCTTTCTGCATGTACTGGGAACCTGTGTATAAGCATGAATGTTAACCAATGAGCCCAGACTCATCAGTTAACCGTATACATGGTTACACTTTCACATCCCTAAACTCCACTGAGGAAAACTGGGTGTTTCTGTTAGTCTCTAAGGTGCCACAGGACTGCTTATTGTTTTTGAAGAAAAATGAGTTACTCCAGGGATGGACTGGCCCCAAAGTCTCTTCTGTCCATCAATTTTTTTTTTTAAAGGGACACTGGGACTCTCAGAAGAATACAGGCATGACTTCACCTGAGATGGTTTTCAGAACATGCATATGAAAACAGAACATAGGCTGGCCATGCTGTTTGCCACAGTGCTGCTCCCAAAGGTCAGCTCAGGGAGTTCTCACAGGAGGGTCCTTGTCCAGCTCTCCCTGAAGACAACAAGACTCTCTCCTTCAGTTTCCATAGGCAATGGATGGACTGTAGTACTTTACTAGGAGTAAGTACAGCTGATATCAGGTAAACAGGATTCTTCTAGCTTTATTATAAAATATTAACATTTCAGAGTTGGCCTCTTCCATCCTTTTGCTTTTACCTTTAAGATTTTTCTCTCTTTCTTCCTTCTCCCTTCTCACAAGCAAAATCCCTGACTCTATTTCTCAACCTCACTCCCCCCAAACTTTTCTTTTCATGCCAGAAACCTGATCACGCTTAAAAGAAGAGGAAATTGCCAGCCCTGCCATTCTCATACATTCAGAGACCTAAGGGCAGTACAAAGTTAAGAGAAATTTGGCTAGGTCTTAATAAAGAATGTAAAATAATGAGGCTATGTCTAGACAGGCATGATTTTCCGGAAATGCTTTTAACGGAAAAGTTTTCCGTTAAAAGCATTGTCGGAAAAGTGCGTCTAGATTGGCACGGACGCTTTTCCGCAAAAGCACTTTTTGCAGAAAAGCATCCGTGGCCAATCTAGACGCGCTTTTGCGCAAAAAAGCCCCGATCGCCATTTTCGCGATCGGGGCTTTTTTGCGCAAAACAAATCTCAGCTGTCTAGGCTGGCCCTTTTGCGCAAAAGGGACTTTTGCCCGAACGGAAGCAGCATAGTATTTCCGCAGAAAAAACTGATTTCTTACAGTAGGAAGTCAGTGCTTTTGCAGAAATTCAAGCGGCCAGTGTAGACGGCCGGCAAGTTTTTCTGGAAAAGCAGCTGATTTTCCGGAAAAACTGGCCAGTCTAGACACAGCCTGAAAGTTTAATTTTTCAGGTGACTTCCAGGCTTTTACAATTAGAGTGGTTGTGGGATTTTTTCAAATGAGTGTGATGAAGTCAGTCTAATTGCTTTTCCTACAGTGTTTTTGAAAAATATTTAGGCTTGTGTGCTGAGGATAAGGAACCTATTTCATACCTGGAATTGTATGTTCATTAATGTCTCTGCACATATTTACAGTACTTAAGTCCAATATTTTTATAAGACACTCAATTTTGTTAAGGCCTGAAATTTGACCTTCCTTAAACTGTCATAACTTGAAGGGTGGATTGTTGGTAAGACTGAATTCAGCCTAAGGACAACTCACCAGTACTTGTGTTGGGTTTTGTTAATAATATAGATGTTTAGAATCCAGAAAGGGATAGATAACTGTCATTTGCTCTTGCAAAGCTATAGGCTTAAACTACTCACAATGATTTACTGCTGTACCTTATTTAGCTTTACTAAAAAGGCAGCAGAGTGAGCAGAAAACAAGATGTGAAATACGGAGTTTGAAAATATTGTATCAGGCTGACTTGTTTTGCACAAAAAAGAGCATATTTTTTCTTAATTACTTAAAGATATCAACAGTAGGGAATGACATTGCCAAAGAAGTGACAAAAATTCACGAACAACAAAGTTAAAACAAAAAAATTAAAAACAAGGAGCACTGTGACTTGCACTGAAATTACATTAAAATAATACTCAAGTGTCTCAGAAAATAGCACAAAAAATTCAAAGGCAAGTTATGTGATGGAACTCTGAGGATCTATTGTATACTTTGTGCTACAGTGGAAAAGGTTATCTGAGAAGTTTTGTTCAGGTAATGCCTACATGACGGAAGAGTCCAATCAGTAGAGGGCTTGATTATAGCATAAAGCTATTACATTTTTGCTTGGGTATTCTTGCCCCTAGCTAAATCTCTTGCATACACTCTGACCCTACAATAGTCACTTTATTCTGGCACAAACTCTCAAGCTCTCACACTTCCCATCACTGTCAACTAATGCACATCTACTGGACTGAAAATATACTATTCCAGTATATCTTAGAAAGCAATCCTTAAGAGCAATGATGCTAGAAACAAAACAAACTCTTCTGTGCCATTTGGAAAGACCAAGACTTTCAACTTCAGCAATGAAATTGAGTCTATCAGGAATGGAGGACTTACATGGTTGCATAATACAATGAACCTGAGTTGGGAAGAGAGTGTGAATTACACCAACCCCGCCAAACAGAACACGATCCTGGCCTGGGACTGAGGCAGTTGGAGTCAATTTCATCTAAAGTGCATGAAAGTAAAAGATACCTTTCTTTCACAAATAGCTTGGACAGGAGCACACAGTACCCTTAGCAGTCCCTTCACCCTGAACTATCTACACAACAAATGTTCTGGTCCTCAGTGTAAACACACATGTTGATTCCATACAAGCTTCTCTATAGTTACACTTTAAGTCAGAGGTGGGCATTAATTTTTGGCCAAGGACCACTTAAAGTTTTGAAATGCCCCCGGGCCACCTGGAAGGGGTAGGGCCAGTATGCTTCTGGGCTACAACACCCATAGACCATGATTGGTCTGGGGTGGGGGAGCCCCTTTGCCCCCCCTTCCCACTAGACACGCACGCCAGGCCCTGCTGCATGCTCCTCACAGGGTAGGTTAGGGTGGGAGCAGGCTTTAGGTGCTCCCCCTACCCTTGGCCAATCGGGGCGGGGGAGCGTTTGAAGCCTCCTCCTGCCTTGCGAGGAGCACATGGCAATTTGATGTACTGTGCACTCCTCACAGGGCTGGGGCAGTGTGAAGTAAGTTTTGCACAGCTCCCCCACCCTCATGCCCTGATTGGCCTGGGGGTGGGGGGAGTGCCCGGAGCCCCCTCCTACCTGCGAGGAGCATGTGGCACTTCCAAATGCGATGCGCTCTTCACAGGGAGAGAGGAGGCTTCGGGCGCTCCCTCCACCCCCAGGCCAATCAGGGCCTGGGGGTGGGGGAGCTAGGCGAAGCTTCCCTTGCCCTGCCTCCGCCCTGTGCGAGGGTATGGCTCTTTGAAGGGCACTGGGCTTCACGCAGGAGAGAGGAGCCAACTTTGCATGCTCCTCTTGCCCCCCAGGCCAATCAGGGCTTGGGGGGTTGGGGGAAAGTGATGTCTCCTCCCACCCTGCGAGGAGCGCATAGCAGTTTGAAGTGCGGTATGCTCCTGGCAGGGCGGGAGGAATTTTCGTGCGCTTCCCTGCCCCCAGGCCATAATTGGCTAGCGGGCAGGGGAGTGGTAGGGCCTCTGTGGGCCAGATGAACCTGCTTGGCCTAGCCCTGCTTTAGGGAGAATAAAATCAGGTTCAGAACGTACTTTGGGCCTGTTGAAAATCATCACTTCTGAATGAGTCTATAACAGATGATCAGTTTTCTTCCTCCAGTGTTCTTTGGCCCTAGTCACACTATAACACAGTATTCCTGTTTAATTCAAATTGCTTCACATTTCACTTTCATAGTGACCAGGTTGAGTGACAGAAGTGCAGTTAAACTAAGAGTGTCCTTTTGGTGAGACAGCAGTCTTGCTTTGCAATCGTCAGAAGAGTAGCTGTGTTAGTCTGTAACTGGAAAAACTTAAAAACAATGAATAGTCTAGCAGCATGGTAGAGACTAACAAACATGTAGATGGTATCATGATGTTTATTAGTCTTTAAGGTGATGCCAGACTACTGGCACGTTTTTTGGAAAAAGCAGCTGCTTTTGCGGAAAAACTTGCCAGCTGGCTACACGGGCCGCTTGAATTTCCACAAGAACACTGACGATCTCATGTAAGAAATCAGTGCTTCTGGCGGAAATACTATGCTGCTCTCATTTGGGCAAAAGTCCTTTTGTGTTAAAAGCTTTTGGGCAGAAGGGCCAGTGTAGACAGCTCAGATTTGTTTTGCGCAAAAAATCCCCGATTGCGAAAATAGTGATGGGGGCTTTTTTTGCGCAAAAGCGCATCCAGATTGGCACGGATGCTTTTCCCCAAAAAGTGCTTTTGTGGAGAACTGTCCATACCTATCTAGACACTCTTTTCTGCAAATGCTTATAACGGAAAACTTTTCCGTTAAAAGCATTTGCGGAAAATCATGCCAGCCTAGACGTAGCCGTTGTATTTAAGTTTTTTTGCTTTGCAATGACACACAGTAACTTGTGAGGAGTAAGCTTTCCTACTGTAAAATAAGCATGGGAGAGGAAAGTTACACAACTTATTCAATCATTAAGCAAAGACTTGAAAACTTGCTTTTGGAGTAACACATAGTAAATGCCTTATACACATTGTTCTAGTACATATCAAACAGAAAAACCTCATAAGAAAACACATCAAAAATTTACTAACAGCTCACAGGTCATACTATAAATATACTTTACCGGCAAGAAACTGCTCATACTCAATAACAGGGATGTTTTTATCGAGGCTTGGAAGATCAAAGAACTCAGACCAAGGAATTCGGACCTGATGAATGTCAGGAGTCTGCCAGTGATAAAGACGTCCCCAGGGAGGCAGGACCAATACCCAAGCTTCAGTTTTCAGCAAGGTCTTCAGAAGAGAGGCAATACGAATGTAGACATCTCTGCGAAGATTGAACCCTTCTGGAGGATTGACATCATATAAAAGATATCTGTAAAAAGCAAGAAACCCTAATAACTTTTGGGAGACTTGAAGCATTTTCACAGAGAACTTACCTGTTGTGAACTCAGAGCCATTTTACTAGGCTTCCGATTTCTTAACTCCAGGGCTACATCTAGACTTGCACGTTTTTTGGAAAAAGCAGCTGCTTTTGCGGAAAAACTTGCCAGCTGGCTACACGGGCCGCTTGAATTTCCACAAGAACACTGACGATCTCATGTAAGAAATCAGTGCTTCTGGCGGAAATACTATGCTGCTCTCATTTGGGCAAAAGTCCTTTTGTGTTAAAAGCTTTTGGGCAGAAGGGCCAGTGTAGACAGCTCAGATTTGTTTTGCGCAAAAAATCCCCGATTGCGAAAATAGTGATGGGGGCTTTTTTTGCGCAAAAGCGCATCCAGATTGGCACGGATGCTTTTCCCCAAAAAGTGCTTTTGTGGAGAAGTGTCCATACCTATCTAGACACTCTTTTCTGCAAATGCTTATAACGGAAAACTTTTCCGTTAAAAGCATTTGCGGAAAATCATGCCAGTTTCGATGTAGCCCTGGGGAAATGAAAGTGTAGTGCGTGCAGTATCACTAAAAGGCTGTACCATACTGCCTCAGAAGAAACCAAATCCCAGCGTCATCCGTTTACGTGCGTAAGGAAGCAAGGAGTCTAGGGGTCAGGCCCAAGCGGCAATACTGTGTGGACAGCACAGAATTGTAGCTCGACGACAGCCCCTCCCCAAATCCTGAGGGCAATCTCCATGGCATTTGCCTCAGGGCTCGGTGCAGCGCGCGGGGGAGCCGGGTGCTGCCCCAGGGCCCGGCGCGCTGGAGGGACGGGAGAGGAGGGAAGCGGCGGCCAGTCCGCTCTCCCAAGCACCGAGGCCGGGCTCTGCCCAGGCCCCTGGCCCGTGTGCTGGCCGTGCCCCGCTCTCCGGCCCACACGGCTCCTTTATCCCAGGCGCTGGCGCCGCGCCCGCAGCCCCGCCAGCCGCCTCAC